GGCTTTGCCGTTCACCAGACCGAGAAGGAAAGCTCAGTTTAGCTCTGTCTCAGCTGCCTGACCCTGGCCCTTCCGGTAGCTGCTTCGTCAACTGTGAAATGAGCTTACTTCACCGGGGTCACCATGACAACAACAAGGTGGGATAGGATATGGAGGGTACAGGGAGCTCAGACCCGGCTCCAGGACTGCTCAGCTGAAGTTGTAGTTGCTGCTGACCCCTTTTGCACCCATCAGATTTTTTTTTGGGTGTTTGACCCCCAGGGGGGCAGATCAGCCAAGGAAACAGTAACATCAAAATTATGGACGTGAGCTTAGCTCAGAGGAGAGGGACTGAACGTCCTATGTGTCCTCTTAAAGTCACGGCCCATCTCATTTGTCAACATTTTAGGGTGCCCCGTATCAAAGTGTGACCTGTCATTCTCAGAGATGAGTGATATTCCTTTAAAAGGCTCTTCCTAGCCAAAAAAGAAAAAAAGAAAAAGAAAAAGAGCTGATGACAATCATGGTTACTGTGTATAGTTTTGCTCTTGACATTTGAAAAGAACCAGAGAAGAGCTTTAAAGGTTCATCCAAAAATGGATGGTGCATGGGCGGTCGTTAAGACCTCATCAGCTGTTGTTCTGGGATGGGCAACTTGCCTTCCTGAGGGCAAAGGATTCAGAAGGTAAACTGAGGACAGTGATTCTAGTCTTAAGCCTTTGCACAAATACGGAAGAACAAATGGAAAACTCTGTTCTCCAATGTGGGGTCACTTCTGGCTGCATCCTATCCTGGGTGGAGGTGCCTTGCTATAGGGGAAGCAGAGGGAGCTCCAAGTCCCGGAGAGCTGCAGGTGAGACTGTCCCTTGAGACTCAGGACTGGGAAACAGGTGAGAGAGTCCTCATCTGTAGTGGAGGGACCATCTGCCTCCTAGGGTTCCCCCTAGGGGATGAGCAACACCATGTTGGCAGAGGTCCTGCCATGTTGGCTGAGATCTAGATCTAGATCTTTGATACGATGGAGCCATTTTTCTGCTAGGCAAGGTGTGGGGGGAGGTGTAGGGTTAAACAGTTGCCAGTATACCACAAAGAAAGCAGCGGCTCTCTGTGTACAGTTAAACCACGTTAGAAAGTTTTCAGATCCAAGTTGGTCTACTGCCTGCCACTGATTCCTACTGGACCTGCTGGAATGCTCTAGAAAACAAACACTCCGTGCATGGAATACTGGATGTCATGTGAAATTCCTTTGTGCTGAGAAGCAGAGAAAGCCAGCCTTGAGGTCCCAGGCATCTTGACATGAGTCTGGTTTCTTTCACTGTCACTCCAGGAATCCAATTAATTATTTTAACAAGATTCCAAATACCTTGGAATGTATCCTGAGTGCCTCAAAGTTTATGCCGGTTGCTTGTCCCATTGAGTGGCTCACACCAAGTACTGTAAAAATGTAAGTAAAAACAAAACAGAAAAGCCAGGTTTGGGAACTGGGCTTGTGAGTCAATGCTCAGGAACACTCTTGTTCTTTTTTTGTTTTTTTGTATTTGTTTGGTTTTTCGAGACAGGGTTTCTCTGTATTGTTTTGGAGGCTATCCTGGAACTCGCTCTGTAGACCAGGGTGGTCTCGAACTCACAGAGATCTGCCTGCCTCTGCCTCCCGAGTGCTGGGATTAAAGGCGGGCGCCACCAACACCCGGCACACTCTTGTTCTTGCAAAGGACCTGGGTTTGATTCTTGGCTCACGACACTCTGCAACTTCAGTTCCAGGGGATCTGACACCCTCTTCTGACCTCTGAGTGCTCCTGCACATATGTGGTGCACCTACACACCTGCAGGCATGTGTGCAAGCACATGTGTGTGAGTGCACACAAACACACACACACACATACACGCCTAAAACAGGTTTTCCATACCAAAGTGATTAGCTAAAACTGCAATTACGCGTTTTTCCCACCACAAATGATCTAAAATTAAAAAGGGAAATTGTTATGAAGTTAAATGGCTTTCTCATAGCAATGAAAAGAGTTGGCTGAAGCGCTCTACGGAATGAAAGGAACTCCTGCTGCTACCAAGTTTCCCCAAAAAAGTATAGATTTCTGGGCACTGGATTAAGATAGCATCACATATTCAGCATTTCCAGAATGATGATGGTGGCTGAGATGGGGTACTTATAGGTTCTAGTCTCTCCTGAGTGGTGTCTGTGGGCCTGGGAAGGGACAAGTGAGAACATACAGGCAGCCGGAAGCCTCCTCACAGGAGCCGGGGCCCTGAAGCCAGCGTGCTGTCTGGAGGAGCACTTGCTGTTTCCCTCTCGGTGGGAACAGAGCATGCGTGACAGAACCGTAGGGCAAGGGCACAGAGCAATGAACCCTGAGCCCATGGAGTCCCAGGAAAGAGTGGCGAGGGGACAGGGGACTCTAGCGTTGTGCTGTCATGGGGCAGGACAAGGCCTGCTGTACACTTTGTGAGGTCGTGGGGCTTTTGAGTCTCAAGGGAGCAAAAGAGCTCTCCCGTCAAGACTGTGCCACTGTGAAATGGTCCACATCACACTGTGTGTCTCAAACACACACGCTTCCGGTGGCAACAGAACACCGTGCTGCTGACGCAGCCGGCAGAGTCTACCCGGAATACCTCAGCGCGGGCATCCTGGGCCTCTCCTTGCAAGGCCCTTTCTCGGGAGTGGGATTCTAAAAGTCCTGCACACCAGTTGCGTCTGTCTTTCCTTTTCTCAGAGACTTCATTCTCACTGATGACATCTTTAAAGTCACAGTTGTAAATCTGAGTGCTTGGTAAATGCGAGCAGGTTTATTTGTTTTAATTTGTAGAACAACGTCAGGTCAAACAACCTCCCCCAAAGAAAAATCTCAAAAAAGACAAAAACCCACTCCAGATGGTAATAATAATTAATAATAGCTGGGAAAACAAAATAAGGCAAACATATAAACAAAAACAAAATGCCAAACAAACCAAACCCAAACAACAACATCAAAACCCCCAGGACATTCAAGGAAAAGAGTCTACCTTGCCAGCTTCCAATCTGAAAAGTTCTGCTGCAGAGAGGACATTAAAGTCATAGCTTGTGACAGGGAATGCAGAGATGCTAGGCTGCTTGAAGGGCTGAGAGAAAGTGCTGTCCCTGCTCAGCCCCAAACAAGTCATTTACAGCATCCGTTCTAAGGTCCATGGACCATTTAGGATGAGGGGGCAGAGAGAATGCAATCGAGGACTGGGCTAGGTTCAGCCAGTAAAAGCTCTTCTTGCCTCTAGCCAGATGACCTGCGTACAATCCCCAGGGCTCACATGGTGTAAGAAGAGAGAACCAACTCCCAAACCTCCTCACGTGCGTGGTGACACGCGTGTGTGGGGCACAAGTACATTGGTTCTGGGCCTTCACTAGAGTCAGACGTGGAGGGGGAGGTGCCCAGGGCGGGTCTCACTCCTGGAATGCTGACCCATGGTGAGACAGATAAATGACCCCGGCTAAACTCAGTGGCTCTCAAAACAAACAAGATGAGAATCTGGGAAAGAGAATTAAAAGGAGAGAAGTTGTCAGGAATTGGAGAATGATAAGAGAGCCCGTGGGGTCGAGAATAATCCGAACGCTTTACATGTACATGCACTGTCAAAGAACAGGCTAAATGAAAAACTCCGTTTGCTTCCACACCCTTCTTCTTGAGTCCCCTTGAACAAACTGGTTTAAATGGCAGATTCCCTGCCCCTCCCCACAATTATGGGAACTTCCCAGGAGCAAGGCAAATGCTACCAGAAGTTTGCTCATTATTTTCAACACACCCCTAAAGTTAGCAGGCCCGTAATCCCAATACTCAGGATGCTGAGGCAGGGGGATGAAGCATTCAAGGCCAACACCAGCTATAGAGTTCAACTCTGTCTCAAGAAAGAAATGGCCCAGGGGCAAGATGGCTCAGTTGATAAAGGCGCTGGCTGCCAAGTCCCATGACTGGTGTTTGATGCCTTTGACCTACATAGTGGGGAGAGATAAACCAAGCCTAGAAAACCGTCCTCTGATCTCCACACATTTGCCCTGCTGTGCACCACAAAATGAATTAAAAGTCTGAGAATCTTAAGGCCATTACTGCTGTTTGCTGGCCTGGTTAGAAATTAAGAAGGGTAGCTGCATTACGCATTCCAAACAGAACTGGCCTGTCTTGTGCCACCAGGGGAGAAGTGAAGTCCACACTCGTGGGTGTGGCTTGCTAGAGATCTTCCAGGGCTGGAGAATGGGGAACCTTTCAGAATGTTTACCCCCTAGGAGGGAGGATGTCATCTGGCCCTCTGAGGGTCACATGGTATTGGACGTTAGGGAAGGACAACTAAACCGTGCTACTCCAGTCTATCTTAGAATGACACAGGTCAATTTCACACTGAGGAGGAATAGGGATTCCGCCTTCCCCTCCCTGTTGGTCCAGATAGCTGTGACAAGTTCTCAGAGAGGCCTTACAGAGTGATGGCGACAAGAAGACAGTGCTGGACACCGGAATGCCCTTTGACTTAGTTCCTCCCCACGTAAGCGCCCTTCCGGATTTGTCTTCCCTTTACCGGGTTTCCCCTTTTCCCTCTCTCTTCGAATGAAAAAATAGTCATGAACGCTTCCATTCATCTTGGAATCACACCCTGAGAAGGGCTTCGCAGATGCTTTTCTTTCCGTTACGAGTGACCTTTAAATCGAAGTAGGAAATGCTTTCCAGGTAACACCTTCTAAAAGGAAGCCAGCATAGTGGAAGAAGGCAGAAGGTAAAGCCACTATGAATGAGGGCCAGGTGGATAATTGTGTCACAAACTGCCCCGCTTGGCTAGCTGGGAGTTTCAAAACCAGGCTTTCCGAGTGGCGAGGAGGACTTGGTTATCCTCGGCACCGGCAAACAATACTATCTTTCTAATTCCTTTCCTAGGCAGGACGGGGAGCCCAGCACATTTCGCTTGGTCTGCCTGTTAGAGCTTTCCTAGTCGGCTGTGGATAGGGAATACGAAACTGGGTGCAACCACACGTTCCCCGGGTGCTGTTTTACCTGCCATAGGCAAAACGCCTGTCTTTGTGGTGATCTCCGAAAGTGTCCCAAAGCCTGAGAGAAATGCTCACTTCATCGACGACATCCCTGGACCGCTCCAGGACCTGCAGGAAAGAGTGAGAGAGGGGTATAGAAGGGAGGGAGTGTGATGGGGTGGGGGATGTGAGTGGAGGGGGGTCGTAGGCTCAAGTGTTCCTCACGGGCCACGCCTCAGGCCCTTCCACCATGTAGTGGGACACAAGACAACTCCCAAATCACCTTCCCCATCACGTGACTCAGACTTCCTTTGGTGTACCATAGACACACCCTCAAGTTTGTGATTTGCTTTTTTTTTCTTGGTATCAGATAGGTCACTTCTGTTTAGATGTGCAGTATAGCCACTGCCTCCTTTATCTTATTTAATTAATTTATTTATTTATCTATTTATTTATTTATTGGTTTTTTTGAAACAGGGTTTCTCTGTATTGTTTTGGAGGCTGTCCTGGAACTCGCTCTGTAGACCAGGGTGGTCTCGAACTCACAGAGATCCGCCTGCCTCTGCCTCCCGAGTGCTGGGATTAAAGGCGTGTGCCACCAACACCCGGCCAAGCCTCCTTTATTTTTAATCAGACTAATAAACAGCAAATAGAAGTGATGGCCTAAGCATTAAAGTTTCCTTCTTTCCTTCCCTCCTCCTCCCTTCCTTCCCTCCTCCTCCCTCCCTCCGTCCCTCCCTCCCTTTTTTCCTTCTTTCCTTCCTTCCCTCCCCCTCCCTTCCTTCCTCCCTCCCTCCCTCCTTCCCTTCCCTCATCCCTTCCTCCTTCCTGTTTTTCTTCCTCTAGCCCAGGCTAGCCTCGGATTCCTCCATCCTCCCACTTTAGCTTCTTGAACCCTGGGATCAGAGACCTGGGCCACTGTGCCAGACAAATTACTATTAGATTCAGCTTTCTGTTTCTTCTTGAGGCAGGGTCTCAAGGAGTTCAGGCTGGCTGGCAACTGGCTACGTAGCTGAGGATAAACCTATGTATTTTACCTCCTGGCAGACACGGTACTGGTCAATGGCCCACACAGTGGGCACATGGGTGGCCAGCAGCTGGTACTGGGTCAGTGTGGTGTTGCATGCCCGGGCACAGATCAGGCGAGTCTTCCCCACGGCATTGTCACCCACAACCACGCACTTGATGGTTTCAACGTTGGGTCTTTCGTAATCCATGTCTGTGTCCATTTATAAAGCCCTGGAAGAAGATGGTGGATGCCACATTAGAGAGGCCAGGGCTTTCCACAGCAACTCACAACAGTTTGCCTTTGTCCGACCACCTCCTTGGAGGTGCCCGAGCACAGGCAAGGAGTTTGGAAGTGAAACTCAAGCTTTCTTTTTATATCTCACTCTAGAATAAAAACACCACACTGTTATTTTGACCCTGAACAGTTTATTCCAGTGAACGTGTTATTTTCTCCTTGGTTTTCTCTAAACATAACCCTGCCTACTGCAGAACTGTCCAGGCACTGCTGGCACACAGTCATAGCTCCCCAGCCACACATGCTGACCAGCGGCTAGTGAACCTGGTCACCTATAGGGTTGAGCTTTGACTCCTGGCCCTTGACTGCACAAGAAATACTATCATTCACCCTGGCACATTCTTTAGACTTGAGATGCCACATGCAAAGTCATAATGGTTCAGGTGGCTAGATGAGAGCCGGAGCATAGGCTGAAAGACTGCCTGACATGAGTGACCTGGAAACTCCGGGTTGAACTATGACGTGCTAATGAAATTAACTCATATCCATTCAGTCACTATTTATAGTAACTGGATTAATACCACCAAGAATTCTGAAGAGAGTTCACCAAAGCTGGTATGCAAAAGCATCCCCTCCCCTTTAGTATTTTCATCAAGGAATCTGGAACATAGGGTAGAAGCAGACACTACCAGGAAGGCAAAGCATGGAAAACCTCCCTGAAATACCAGGGAGGTTAAAAGATGATTACAGACCCTGTGCGGTGGTGGCTCGCACTCCCAACCCTGGCTTTTGTCAGGCTAAGGTGGGAGGAATGTGAGCTCCAGGCTAGCCTGGGGTACGCATCAATATCATGTCTCAATGAAACAAAACACTCAAACAAACCAGAAGAGCAGGGTCTCAAGAGAAAGAGGAAGGGAAACAGCTGTTACAGCTATGCATTTTGGAGCGAGGCCCTCCACACAACAGAAAACAGTCACCTTACTGCGGGCAGCTGACAGAACGCTGTCAGATATCGATGAGTGGTGAGGGTCAACCTAGGTACCTCAGATGGAGTGAGTTTGAATCCAAACTGGCTCCTTGAGGAGGTCTAGCCTGAATAAATTGGTCGGGATGGTCCTTTTGAGAGTTGGCAGTGATCTTATGAGCGTTCAGAGAAAAGAATCTCATACCTAACTGGAACCCAGGAGAGTTGAACTCAACTGGCTTGAGGAAAGTCATCCTCAGGATGATAAAGACAGGGGTGGAGAGTTAGTCTAAGGCAGAGACGGCCTTCTCATAGTCGGGCCCAGCCTGAAGGTGAAGTAGTTCTGAAGCACTGTTATCCACAGCGAGGATGGCTCGGCAGGAAGGATTTGAGGGGCAGATGTGTGGTTTGGTTAGGACTTGACCTGTGGTTTTCAAAGCACGAAGAGGCTGAAAATAGCCTCTTTTTTTTGAAAAAAACAAAAAACATCTTGAGCACAGAAACAAATGTCTAACTCTGGTGATCATCCAGGTGTGGTGGCTCCTGAAACTGATCTCTTCAGCATTCTGTCTTATCATTCTCTGGTGTTTTATCGCTTTGAGTACCAGACAACAATGGGCTAGAAGCATGAATCTGATATGGGATGGATGATTTTTCAATAGTCCCCCTAGGAAATATCATGTCTAGAGATAAAATTGCTAAATGCACCCAATGGCTAGGATAGACGCATGATCAAGAGCTGTGTGACCCCAGAGACCGAACTGATGAGTCTGTCATGTGTCTGACCTAGGTCCTCTTTGTATATGTTATTGTTGTGTAGCTTCGTCTTCTTGTGGGATTCCTAACAGTGGGAGCAGTGGTTGTCTCTGATTCTTTTCCCTGCTTTGAGGGACCTTTTCCTCCTGCTGGGTTGCCTCATCCAACTTGATAGGAGGGTTTGTGCCTGGTCTTACTTTGCCTTGTTATGCCATCTTTAGTTGATATTCCCGGGAGGCCTGCTCTTCTCTGAAGGGAAAACAAAGGAGGAGTGGATCTGGAGGTGAGGGGGTGGTATGGGGAGGTGGGGGATACGGGACGGACTAGGGGGAGAGGAGGGAGAGGAAACTACAGTCAGGATGTAATGTATGAGAGAAGAATAAATTGAAAAAAGAATTATATGACCTAATTCTCAAAGTGGTGAGGGTCAGCCTAGGCGCCTCAGATGGAGTGAGCTTGAAACCAAGCTGCTCTTTCCTGTGCCCTGACACTGGGTGGGGTTTGCTTCTTGGGCCTCCTTATTTTCATCTGGTTAGAGGGGAACCACAGCAAAATCTACCTCCTACAGCCAGCGAGAGAGTTGAACAGACTGATGTTTAAGCTCTAGATGTTGTCAGAGGACATCAGGACAGAGTGAGGCAGGAAGCCAGTATCAGGTAAACTCACAAAGTTAATATGGACAGAGATTTCCCCAAAGGACGGATTTCATAAGGGCTAGCTCAAAGAGAACTCACTCGAGACTGAAGAAAATCAACACAACACGACGAATAGTTGATCTGACCCAATGAATCCAAAAGGAACTGAAAGCATAGTGCTTGTTTGACAACATCCTGGTGATGTTGCCAAGGGGTTGGGGGCAAGCCAGTGAACTGGCTTCATTTGGGGCCTCACGACTTTGAAACTGAGATCCATTGTCTTGAATATTCTAAGCGTTAGGACAATCTCAGTCTTTGCTGGGGGATGTGATTGTTCTGAAAGACAGACGGTTTGGAAGAATGCTTGAATTTTAGGGACAAGTAAGGTAAGTTAAAAACACAGAATCGGTTTTCTTGTCGATCAGCAAACTAGTTCTGACAGCACACTCTGAAGAGGAGCTCCCAAGTCGTGTGAATCATTAGTACCCCGGTGAAATAAATAACCATGTTGCTTTTATATACACCTTTGAGGTGGTCAGAAACCCTTCATGCTTCATATGTAGGCTCTGTGGTGGTTTGGGTAGAAATGGCCCCCATAGACTCATGTATGTAAATGCTTGGCCACAAAGAGAGAGTGGCACTGTTAGGAGGTGTGGCCTTGTTGGAGTAGCTGTGGTCTTGTTGGAGGAAGTGTGTCACTGTGGGTATGGGCTTTGAGGTCTCATATATGCTCAAGCTAGGCCTAGTGTGAGAGTCACCTTCTACTGCCTGTGGATCAAGATGTAGAACTCTCAGTCACCTCTCCATGTCTGCCTGCCATGATGATAGGCCAGATCCAATAAAACGTTTTCCTTTCTGAAAGTTGCTGCGGTCATGGTGTCCATGACCACAATAGAAACCCTAACTAAGACAGGCTCTAACTGCAAAAATGGTCCTCATTTTTAGGACATATTTATGACATATTCTAAAGGAAAACAACAACAACTGGGTGTGAAATTCGAAAATAACACCCATGGGGGTTCTAATCCCAGCAATCTACTTAGGATCAGAGCATACTGACTAACATCAACAGGAGGAGATCGTGGATGAGGGACAGTAATCGGCAGCGTGGAACTCTCTGCTTACAGTGAACCCGGCTGCGGAGGTGGAGTACTGCCTAACTCCCTCACACCGTCACGCCCTCAATATTTCATGCGGTGTAAACATTTCTTTTCCTGTGTAGACAACAACCCGAAAAGTATTGCAAGAATTCAAAGCTACAGCCAGAGAGGCAAAGTCAGGCCTTCCCAGTGTCCCAGAAAATCAGTGCTTACACATGGTGTCACACACAAACACTCAGTCCTGGAAGCGATTGCACTAACAAACAATTCCATCCTTCTCTACATGTAACGGGCTTCTGTGCATTCACAGCTACACACCCATGGCTAAGTGAGTTCTTAAAACCATCTGGGCAAGCATCATCTGCTTTCCCATTTTTCTTTACCAACAACGGGAGTGATAAATGCTATCAGTTGAACAGGGTTAATACATT